TCATCCAGCTCTACACCTTGTTATCTCAGATTCTCCAGCATCTGCAGTTCCTACTATCTCTTTCTATCTCATGTTTTGTATGCATTTTCTCTGGGTTATATTGCCAGTTGCTTTAAATCTACCTGAAACAGTTCCTCCTTACATGCTCTATTACATTCTTCAGAACTTTGAAAATCTCTAAGAAGTATCCCCATAACCTTCTCTATCATGAAGATTCTGCAATTTCTCCACATAAATACCAGCTATCAGCCGTGGTATTGTTATGGTAAACATGCACCACATCATCTCAGGGACCTGGACGTTCTTCTTGAATCGTGGTGCCCAAAATTGTCCTGGTTGCTTCTCCCAAATGCCATCACTCCATGTTAAATCACATCTGCCACATGTCTGCCTTCTACTGTCTGCATCTCCCATCTGTATTAGTTACTAAATCTCCAAGATTTCAATTATGTGCAAATGTCAGAATTGCATTCCATTCATCCAATTACTGGTTCTAAAACCCCACCACTTGCTTCTCTCTGGTTTGAAAGATATTCATTCACTACTTCTCTGTCTCCTAACCCATGGTCAATTTTTTAACTATCCCTTTATTATGATGTGCTTCTATTTTCCAAATAAGTTTGTTCTTCAATATTGTATCAAAAACCTTTCAAAGTTCACATATGCACCATTTACTTGCAGTCCCTTCACCAACCCTCTCAGTTACATCAAAAGATCTCAATTAGGTTAGTCAGACATTATTACTCTTTAAAATAATAACGCTGCCTGTCCCTTATGAGTTCAGATATCTCTAAGTCAGAATTGATGTTGTCCTTAACAATGATGTCTATCTAACATGAGACTGACTTACTTGCTTATCACGCTCCTCTCCAACAGCATTGTAACATTTCCACTCCTCCAATCTCCTGGTACTCTTCCACTGTCCAAGCAGAATTGAAAGACTGTGATCAGATTGTAACAATATCCTCCCTGGCATCCCCCAGCATTCCACCTGGACTGGGTAACTTGTTAATTGCATGATGAAATTTAGCATCTCCTTTCTATTTTTATGCAAAATTTCTTCTCTCCTTACTCCACTGTGAAATTAACTTCATCCCCCTCTTTCTCGATGACAAATGCAAAGTAGTAAATCAGTGTATCAGTTACACCCTTTGATTCGCTTTTAGTCTTTAAATAGTGGAGCCTCCATCATTCTTTTAACTTTTCATATAATTATAAAAGTGTTTTGGAATTTTTTAATGTTACCTGCTAATTTATCCTCAAATAGCCTTTATTATTTTTATGCTCTTTATTAATGCATCTCTGTACTCTCCATGTTCTCCGTCATTTTCCTACCCAATCTTTATCTATAGTCTGCGTGCTTTAGCCTTCCATATCACAGAAATTGGCTCTCTTTCATGTTAGCATTTTCACCTTTGCTTTTTCAATGTCCCTTCTCCATAAGTTTAAATGGTCGACATCTTCCATTCAAATTCTCACTTTAACACACTTTACTTGAGTGTTACTGAAAAAAAGATTATTTATTAAAGCTGTTCGTCTTGCGCTCATCAGGACACTCACAAGAATAACTTTTTATATTGTATGAGCACAGACTGCTGATCATTTGGTAAATGGACCCTGATTGACAGAAATGTTGCTATGCAGAATGTACCACTTTGATGATGACTGACAATTAATTGTTAAACTTTGTTTAAAGAAAAACCAAATATGTTGACTCTGATTGGTCAAAACTTGCCTAAGTAAAGAACCAGTGAATGGCTGTCACCTATTTATGTATATATTCTTTCTGTTTGCAAAGAATAGTTTCCAATATGAACAAGCGTGCCTCACTGCAGGTCTGACTGATAATCTTGAATTGGCTCTCAGTGTAGTTATTGGCAATTCATTATTATTTACCAATTTACCAATTGCTGTCCAATTGCACACTTGAATCTAATGTTAGTTTAATGTTAGAACCTGGATCTGACTGCTAAATTTATATTATAATCTGGCTAGGGACAAGTAAGTTTTATTTGTAAGTAGGGAAAGTGTGAGATCCTGATACTCAGAGAAAATCAGCACAACTTTCCACAGTTTTGAACAAACAACATATTTACTCTGCAATGGCAGAACAGAAGTACAATTTACAATACATGTACAACTCATACTCTAACACCAAGAACTAACATGTGGTAAATATAGGTAATATATTATGATTGAACACCCACAGGGCACATCAATTGCCAAATGTCATCAAAGCAAATCTCTCAGATTTCTCAGCAATTCTATTTCTGCTAATCCCACCCCTTTTAGATTTTAAGGTTGCAGTGAGTAGGCCAATTTCATCAAAGGACTACAATTCTTCAATTCTGTCTACCCAACCTTGAGACTTCCCATATGGGCTGCTCAAAGTCTGTTTCTGTTCTGATCAATCGCCCTCCTTTCCATGGTCTACATTGCACTAGTCTCCAAAACTGCACCCCAGAATTTATTTACAATCATAACTCCAACTCTTCACTGACAGCCTGGTTCACTGAGCCAGTCCTACCCCTGAGCTTTCCTCTAACTTCCAATCTTGCTCACTTGTGTCAAGCAAATGCATTTCAACCCCCATTCAGCTGCACTGAAGTATAATTGCTTATACATTTCATCCAAGCCTCTCAAGGCTTCTTACAAAACAGAGCCAGTGACCTTCTCACTTTTTCAGTTTCCAGGACTTTGTCAAGTCCTGACTCCAATGCTTAGCTACCTACTAATTCCTAGAATTTCTTACTGAGCTCAAACAGCACAGAGCCATCCAGTTACTTTTGACTCCTCACTCCTCACCTGCATAGGATCTATGTAGTTCAGTTTCCATATCAGCATTACAGATCACTGCAGCATTCCTAATATGGGGTCTACCACTGTCTTTGTCTCCTTCCTCCTACTCACTGCCTGTTGCCTTTGAACTCCTTTTCAATGACCCCCTCAATTATTGAGTGATCTCTATGATCTGCCAATTATAGCCTCCATTCTCAGCATCACACGGGCACTGAAATACAAATGCCACATTATTTATTGGCCACCCTGATCGCAACATTGCCCACCGCATGTTGTGCAAACCCACAATTTTGCCACTTTGGGTCCTGAAATGCTCCCAGTATGCATCACGTTTCTCTGAAGGGAATGGTATCAAGGAATGAGAGGGCAGGCAGCAAAGTGGAATTGAGATCACAACCAGATCAGTTACGTTCTTACTGAATGATAGAGCAGGCTCAAAGGCCCAGATAGCCCACTTCCATGCTCCTATGTAACCTGAAAGCACAAATGCAAGGTAAAGTACCTCTACCTA